TCGGAGCCTTCAGGGAAGCCTCCTGAATGCTCTGGAGGGCGAAAAACAGTCCTACGAGCAAACTGGAAGTCCATTCCTGAACTTCCAGATTGCCCTTAGGGCCGGTTTCTCACGCTCCAGAGGTTTCGAGGAAGCCTCTGAAGGGCGAAAAACAGCTTCAAAATAAGGCCGAAGTCAGCTGGCCAGCACGCACATGCATATTGGCCAGCTGACAGGGCAATGTGTGCCCTAACAAATGGCTCCAGGTGCTATCTGTGGCATGCATGCCATAGGTTCGCCATAACGGCCATAGACAACTCTCTATTCAGTTACACTAGTATGTATCAAAAAATTAAACATTACTATTCATGTGTGGCACTCTACATATGAAAGTTTATTTTATTTTCATAAAATCTGGTTAGGTATTCCATCTGGAAGGAGAGATATTAGACTATACAAGCCTGATAACTCTAACACCAGCTTAAAATGAATTACTTAAATGTAATTTGAAGCATTAAATACTGAAGTTAAAGAAACTCTAAAACTGCTTAGAGTAGAATGCAAAATGAATCTTCTAATTGGCTTAAGAATCTAATTGGCGAGAGTCGCTTTTGCTCTTAAACTAATGTAAATGCTTAGAGCCCTTAAAGAGCTGCAAAATTTGATTAATGATTAATATAAACAAATGAAATAATTCCAGTTTTGAAAGCTACAAGCAATATAATTTAAAGGTTATTCATTGAACCTATCTTAAGGGAATTGGTGAACTTTATTAAACAATTACTACTGTATATTTAAACTAGTTTCTCAATATAACCCCACAGGAATTAAAGGCTATATGAAATTCAAATATATGCTACGGTGCATTTTTGTTTAATGGGGATAGTGTTTGCTCTCTTTTGGGAAATAAACAGATTGCAATTTGTGTTTGAATAGGTATAGTGGAAATAACAAGACTAAAACATTTTACTGAACAAATTTAACTGTTCTGGAAACCAGGACTGATTGATCACTGACTCAATACTTATTAAAGCACACAAAAATGCAAATATCGAATATTTTTGGATAACAATGTTATTAACTAAGAGAATGACAATCTGGTGTCTTTAGCTATACTGGGCTGCAATTTCTACTGTCACTTGTTATTACTCTATCTGCTATCTGAATCTGATGATATCTGAAATCCAAACAATCTGGAGTGCACAAGAATGCCTAACTTAACAGACTGGAACTTCACATATCCATTTGGCATACAATACAGATATACATTGTTTCAAGTTTACAATTAGTTTAAATATTTTCAAGACAACAGCAGTATTGTCAAACATAGCTAAGTCTGTTTTACAGATGAAAGTTATACTGAATATTATTCTTAGTTAAAATCTCATGAGTTCAGTGGAATTCTATGAAAGTATATTGTGTTATTTTATAAAAGTTATAAATACAGAAACCAACCAAATTCTTGTAAAGAATTTTGTACAGATGTGTCAAAAACAGGACTGTATTGTTATATTGGAATGAGAATGAAATATTTAAGTATTTAAATTACCATTCTTAGGAAACATGACAATATCTCAGTATTTATCCATTCTCCTTAAATAATAAGCTATTCTCAATTGTATTTTAACAAATTCACTAAGTAATTATGCAACTATATAACTCTTTGTTATTTTTTTATTGGCAATTTTAAACACATATTTTAGATGACTTTTATTTCATCCTAAAAGTTGGCACTATTGTTGCATTTAGTAATTAAATTACTACATTTGACAGTCCTGACAGGT